CAAAACTGAACCTTATCGTTTTTTTGTTTACTCCTTATCGTTTTACAGGTCAACCGCTCTCTCAAGACACTCCTTACATAACGTAGACAAGCGGGGTTATTATACAACCCCACATGGAAAATGACATGGAAATTGGGATTATGTAGGGATTACTAGGGTACTGGGTTGCTGTTAAGGAACTTAGATCAAGTTACCATAATGGGTCTACCTAGTAAATGATAAGATTTTCCCCAATATAGCTTGAATTAAGTCCTTAACAACAACCCGGACAAGAAGCTTGTCTGACCCTACGTTTAGGGTTTAGGGGTTAGGGTTTAGGGGTTAGGGGTTTAGGGTTTAGGGGTTTAGGGTTTAGCCCATGTTCCAGGGAGCAAGCACCTGATTCCTCCGTGATCCCCTCCCCCTAGTACTACCTCCCCCAGACCCTGCTCATACTGAACTTTCCCGCAGTATGTATGATCATGTTAGGGGCGTAATGCTGATTAGGGGGTCAGGGGTAATCATAAAGGGGTGAGCATTATTACTAGCAACGGCTACCCTGGCTGCAACAGTTATAGTGCATGGGATTACAGGATCACTCGGTAGGGGATATTGACAGACGGCTGTCCAATCTTTCAAAGCGTACGGAGCTGTCTCAGGGTGGAGTTGTGTAAGGTCTGACATGGGACCGCCGGCTATAGCCAACTTGATATTGCAAATTCGGCGGCAGGGTATGGAGCATGGCATGTGGAGCGTCTCCAGCAGCGTCCCAAAGACCCACACGCCAAACCTAAAAGAACTTTCACCAAAAAGCAATAAACCCTGAAGCAGCTGCTCGACAGAAGGCTAGCGTTTGGGTTGAATTGCAGTTGTGATTGCGGTAGCAATGTCTCATCCCACTACCAGGAAACTTTTCTGGTGATGCAATGCAGGATCTACAGGGATGCAAATGCAGATCCCCAAGTAAGTTTCCCTCACAGCAAACATAGCCAGGATGGAGTCCTAGGGGTGCCCAAGTAGGACAGATGCCCTAAGAAGGACCCTTAGAATCTATACAAGTGAAGTATAAGGAAACCCAATCATTTCCTGTTGGGTCTGCCTTCTCTGGTGACTTCTAGAAATCTACCTGAACAAAAGGGAGCTGGATATCGCGAAGGCCTCGAAGTAGCCACGTTTCGTGCAGCCACCTTTTTGGTGACGAACCTGTGGCTGGGTTGCTGCATCGGACCTTAAAGCAAAGTTACCACCACATGGAGACATTGTAAGCCATATGGTTTCCTTACCAAGTAGCTTGACCCGGGCGTGAGATGCTTTAGCTAGCAGCTTTGAGTTTCCCAAGTCCAATCTTGTTTTAGAGCTGTACGTTCCCGGAGGAATTAAGCCTTGAAGGGCCCTTCCACGCGAAACTTGTAAGCATGTACCCTGCAACAAAACCTTTGAGATGCAGCAACGGTTCCATGGAGCAAATCCTGCCCTACCAGGACTCTAAGTCCCAGAAATGGCAGCACGGGTAGATACACAAAATCCCAGCTCAGGAAGTACCAAGGAGTTTAGTATACCAAGGTCATGCAGGACTTGTAGTATCAACAGTAATTCACAGAAATCCTGAGGCTTCAGGGTCTTGAGGACGCATATCCATCAGTGTTTATGTTGGTGGATGTAAGTATCATCTTAATTACCAGTTTCTCTACCCCCAAAACAAGATGCTCTTGCCCTATATTGCGGACTACCGTATCTCCATTGACAGTCCTACCCCAACACACTGGAGCCTTCAAGAACCCTGAGGCCTGAGGATTTAGGGATTAGGGGTTTAGGGTTTCTAGTTGGCAGTGGTGAATGGAAACCCTAAACCCTAAACCCTAAACCCTAGGGGTTTAGGGTTTCTGGTTGGCATTGGTGAATGGAAAATCAAACGACAACTTCGTGTTTCAGGAGTACATAGGGTTAAGGGTCCAGGGTCAGCTTCCTGGAAAGGGAGGAGCGGACAATAACAGCCATCATCTAGGGCTTTGGGCTTTGGGTAGGGAATGTATCATGGATCCCTATAGTGGTCCCTGTATAACCCCAATGATATGGCAGTTTCCTGGCTCTTGTCCACTCCTTCATTCCCACTCTTTCCACTAACAACAAGCAATTTGAGTGTTTTCGTATAAGGATAGCAAAAGCTGTTGCCACATGGCATCTGCAAGACATATGCAAAACATATGATAAGTACTCTCCCCGAGACTCATTTCACGGATTCTGATGGCCAAAGTGATGCTTTGGGGTGTTCGAGCGAGACCCTGAACACCGACCAAACTCCCTTGCAGGCAGACCTTGTTCCGCTCGGGTACGGCTTTCCATCTTGCAAGGTAGGTGGCTTCCACCCTAAGCCCTTCATTCTACACCGGGGTTAGAGCTGGCAACAAGAAAAGATGTTTAGCATGTCCTTAGACAAGTTAAGCGTGAACCTCAGGCACTCTAACACAAATAGACTAATCCACTATCGCACACGTAATCTCGGGGAAACACAGCCGAACCACGCGGACAAAGCAACAAAATGAAGAAGCAAATGCATACATGTACATGTACATAAAAGGCAAGTACGTATCCGGATAATCCACAAATATCAACCTCTCAAAACAAAAGCTCGAAAGGACACCCAAAAAAGAGGAGCTGAACAGTCAAACGCTGAGCCCGCAAGATCCCTCAAGGAAAAACCTTGAGCTGCCCCATAATAAGCCTTCAGCCCATAGCTTAGGTACAAGTTTCTGGAAACCAGCCAAAGGAAGGCGCCCGAAGGCCTCCGCATCCCCCAACTGCTCGAAAATGTCGTCCAAGGACAAGAGCTCGTCCATCAGCGTCACATGCATTTCCTAACATGGCTTAGGACCGCTTAGACATGAATAATTCCTGTGCCGGGCTGCGGATTCGAAAGCAGCGTTCAATAGTTCTCAGGACCAGTAAGTACTGTAGGGCTTTTCGTAAGTACTGCAGGGCCTGCATACTTACAGATACCCCTTTGAAGTCTAGTTGAAATCCCCTATACTATAATTATGCAAGGAATGTGTGACCATGGTTCTGCTCAACTTTTAGGCCCCTGTATTACTGCATGTGGACTTGGAACCTCAGGCTCGGCAGAGCGATTCCAAATCATCCCACCCCACATCAGATTTTTGACCCAGGCACGACAAGGGCCAGGTTTCCCGTTACTTGCTACTTGCTACAAAGATTAGTCCACTCCCCCTGATACGAACCCCCCCCCCACGCCCAACTGACAATCTAAGACCATTATATATCAGGGAGAATATTCATTGTTGCGGGCGGCGTGTGCGGATTATACTTGTCTAAGCAATAGCAACAGACCTCAGCACATGCAGAAACCAAGGTCCTTTTACATACTCACCCTATGAACTGTACTCGGCAGAATAAACTCATTGCATGACACCCCCCCCCCCCTCCCAAAAAAA